ATTATTTATTTTATAAATTTGAAATACAAAATGAACATATTATAATTATATCTAAACTGTTATACTTAATTCATTTATTCCACTCTGCTCTTGATTCAAAAATTGAATTTGGCACCATTTATTAGAGATATTATGGAGATATAAATAATAAAATTATTAACAAATAAGAAAAACGATGTTATAAAAAATAATTATAATGATGAGAAGTTGGTAATTTAATTTTTTAGCAATGTTATATCAGTGACAAGTTATTTCTTCCAGTAGAAGTATTTTTATTTATTAGATGTTTTTGACTGACTGAGCAGCCATCTTCAAGATTAGAACAGTAATGGAATGGAATATAGAATCCTATATTCTTGATTCTATAAGCCATTCTATTACTGTTCAATCCTGAATTTGGCTGTCCAGTCAGCCAAAAAGTTTGATAAATAAAAACATTTCTGTGGAAGAGGTTTGAACTGTTGTTAATGAATGAAAAACACCAGTTTATGAGTCTTAATATCATATCAATCAATTAATATAAACAAGTGTGAATGGACTGATATAATAATTATGTTGTGAAATTAATATTATCATATGAACTAATGTTAATATGGTAATATTATAATCCAGTAATAGTTATAATATTGCCATATGTTTTATTGAATAACTAAAATCATATAGTCATCTAAAATTTGATTTTTATATTTTACTTAAAAAATTAAAATGCTAGATCTTTTGACAGTATATATATATATATATATTATATTCTAAATTACAAATCTACTGTAATTTACAATACTTTATTTTAATAAAAAGTATATTTCTGTAAGGACTATCATATCAGATATTGTATATATTATCACATATTACAAATATTAAACTATATCAATACTCATATTAATTGATGTATATTGACTTTTTTGTTTCTCAAAGTTTACGACGTGCTGGGTGTTATCGGAAAAACTGTCATCAAAAATCCTTTCCCGCTGCGATTCGTGCAGCCGAAAGCGGCACATCCAGTCATAGTCTAAGAATTATTAAATTGTGAAATAAGTTAAACTAAACAATAACTTTTTACTTAACTAACAAATATCAGTATATAACAACTCGCATAAAACTCAAGAACTTAAGTAAGATTATTACAAATAAACATTACTGTATATCGTCATCTGAAATATTGTCTATATATTTTTAATATCACTAACCTTTGATTAATTTNATATCAGTATATAACAACTCGCATAAAACTCAAGAACTTAAGTAAGATTATTACAAATAAACATTACTGTATATCGTCATCTGAAATATTGTCTATATATTTTTAATATCACTAACCTTTGATTAATTTTAATTTGTTTGCAGACAACGAACGTAGAGATGGTAAAAATAACTTTTTAAATAAATAATAAAAATAACACGAAGCTTTCGTTCCAATCTCGTTATCACGTTGTTTTGAAGAAAAATGGCGGCTTACGGTCACGTGACCACAAACTGCCAATAGAAAAGCGTTTCCTATATGGCCTCTCTCATTATATCACGTATTTTTTATTCAGCGCGCTTGCAGCGCTTTTAACGCATGTGTTCAATTATTAAGCCTACTGTCAGCGCACTAGCATCACCTCTCGACCACGCTAAAAATGATGCTTATAAGATGGACGCTTCTATGAGAAAACATCTTTTTCGACTACCAAATAATAATCAGTATTTTTGCTGTTTTAAATGAGCAGATTTTAATCGTGATATACGAAAATGGCTTTTAAAGATTTCATTCGAATACTGCAGTACGATATCGTGAACGTAACCAACGATTTTTACACGCTTTCTTCGTTGTTGGGAATTAGTCATCGCCAATGCCATAAATAAATCATCATTTCCTCGTTTTCTTATAAACAACATCGAACTTAATGACTTTTCTTCTATAATATTGAACAAACGCGTGAAAATATAGCAGAAAGAAAATCATTGTTTATATCAGACATTTTGAGATAGCTTTTTCTCCAGCAAAAGTGTTTTCAGCCGTCAGCAGCAAAAGCGTCATTTCCTGAAGCAACTGCTCAGCACACTGCTGAATAAAAGAATGCGCGGATAGGCTCTCTAAGCAGAAATTACTACTAGTGCCAACAACTTCCTGTTACAGCACACATGTCGTTGTTCTGCGGATCCACATTGCTACGTAACAGCTTCTGATTAGCGGCCGGATGGCAGCCTACCGCTCTGGGGGACCCGGGATCGAATCCGGACGGATCAAATAATCCCCAGGAATTTTTCGGGGGGTGGTCCGTTCGGATATGTCCGGCCCCGTCCCTCACCACCCGGCTGCCCATTGTGGGCCTGGCCGAACCCATAATAAGCTTGCAAAAATAGGCCCTCTTAATGCCCACAGGGCGGAAAGAGTTAAAAAAAACAGCTTCCGATTGAGACATCTTTGTTCAGTTAAAACTGCTGACTCTGCTGAACACAGCCAAGTTTTTTTTTTTTTACAGTATTTTACTTTCGCTTCGTAGCGCCAAATCAACGAAAAATTCCTAAGGAAAAAAAGTTGACTGTCGTCCAAATTGTCATAACTTTTTACTTGGCGCTATTTTTTTTACATCTCAGATATTTTTGTTTGGAGTTTTATTACAATTACATACAAAAGAATATTCAAAATATATTATTTTTAATACATCATCTTGTTTTGTTTTCATTTGTTTCATACATTATTTGTTGCTTCCTTTCTTACTATCTTTTTAATTATTTCAAATAATTTTTTTTTTCCGTAAGGTAACTTAATATATTTAGAGATGAAAACTTCGGCCGCAACCACTCTATTCGCTTTTGGTACAACAGCCTGTTTTCTATATGTTTGAAATACCAAATCATTATTATTTCTAATTATTTTAAGGTCTAAATATACTAAATTTAAGTTTTTTTCTTTTTCTATTTTAAACTAAATGTGATAATTTATTTCATTAACTTTTTCCGAAAGCTGTTCTTCACATATTTGTTATTAAACATTACAATACAATCATCTACATACTTATTAAAAAATACTACACCTTTTATTTTAATCTGATTGTTTATTATGTAACAAGTCTTTAAATAAAGTAAGGTTCTCGTAAACTTTTTTTTACAATACTTAAAATAAGGACAAGAAACATTGATCATAATGTATAAACAAATGTAATAAAAAATACTACTACCTTAAAAAACTAGTAACGATTTAAGATGACACTATAAATTACTTTTATATGTTAATAGGGCATTTAATTTTTGTAGAGGTTTTTATGTAAAAATAGCAATTTCATTATTTTATAAGTCATGGTATGATTTTAGTACAGTATTTTCATAATTTATATTTTGTTTTATATTAAAAAATTTCAGTAGTAAGAACATTTAAAAAATGTTTTTAAATTTAATTTTTAATTGGAATTTTATTTACTGATATTGCAAATGTAAAAAGAAATTTAAGTACAAAAGGTTAAGCATTTATTTTTTCAATAGAAAAGCATTGTAAATTTAATTCGATTTTTGTCATTTGTTTCCAGAATACGGCGCTACTTAAAATGTTGCTGCGCCTCTCGTTTCTGCTGCAGTAAAATATAGGGTGTGCTTCCTAGTAAAGCTGTTTTAATAGAGCTGGATAAGTAAACCAATGACAGCCTCTTTTATTTGAAACGAACCACGTCATTATCCAGCTGTATTGAAGCCACTTTACTGGGCGACGCGCTCGTATTGTTCTGTATTGTTATCCGGATTGTTAATTTAACCGCTTTACAAAGCGTCTAGCCGTTTTATAATAAAGCTAACTAAGTTGCCGGATTGTCGTTACATCGTGTTTTATAATTCGACTGACTACGTTTAGCCGTATTGTAAAACGGCGAAAATCTCAGCCTCTTTACTAAAATTACACTAAATACTTTTTCCTAGATATTCTATACTGAAATGGGTTGCAGTGTGAAGTTCACGCGAAATGTACAGTACATACAGTACGTTGACCGACAAAGGAAAGACGTATCAATAACTGAGCGACAGTATGATCAAAGTATGATACCTCCAGTGGAAAGTCCTCTTGGGAAGTATCTCCTTGGCATGTCGCCCACATATCGCGTTGCATTATCTCATTAATTTAATCAAAATACCAAAGTTAGAATCCTGATCAATGAAGTTGGACTTAAATGGTAGTTGAACAGTTCAATAGTTTGTAAAATTCAGCGTACAATTATTCTTTTAATTAAAAAGTGTATGTCTACTGTCGCTCACGAATGAAATCGTCCTAACACAATTCACCAACAGAATATTCTTTACAGTATATTAGTAATTTAGATACCAGAAAATAAAAATAAAAATTAAAGATTCTATTTAACCCTTCGACACACTTATGAATAGATATAAAACAGAATGTTATGACCGCTATGACAATTCTCGGTTGGAATCGGAAAAGTCGCCTTCTATTTAGTACGAATGACGTATCGATGACGTAGACTGATTATCGATAATTTGATATATTATTAACAGAATACGATTATCTTGTGTATGAAATTGCTACATAAAATTAAAGAATGCTTATTATCTGTGATTCATGCGAAAATAACGTATGACAACGAACTTATAAAACTGGATTTAAATTCTTGATTGCAGTCAATGTGACGTCATTTTGCTGCACGCAAGAACTTTTCCAGCTTAACATTCAATAATACTCAAGCACAGTTATCGGTATTGATCAAATGATTTTAACGTTTTCCGTAAAATCCTATTCACCCTGTAAACTTTAAGCAGAATTAAATTGCATTAACGAAAAAAAGATTAACTACCAACCATTTAAAGCGATTTATTTCGTATAGCCCTCAAGCGGTCACAATCAACATTTTTAATAAAATTAAAGTTTTACTTATTTACGAAAAACGATTATAAATTAATTTACTTTAAGTAATTTAAAATATAAATTATCAATTTCGAATAATAATTTATGATCAATGTTTTATCTAACACGAAACTTGACGTAAAAGTATTATGACGTCAAAAATCGATTCAAATCATGGGCATGCTTTTATTAGATCCACTTTTCCGAATTTATTCGGTTTCGTTTACATTCTGATGACTTTGTCATTAAAGATGGCTTAAAATATACAATGTGGATGGGGCATAACTCTATCATTTGACAATACAGTACTGTATATAGACACTTTAATTAAATATAATAAAAATTAAAATTTTTTTAAACAAAAGAATCCGCGTTATTTACGCGCATAAATTTATATATAAATGAAATAACAGAACATTTTTATTACCTAAAACGAAAGAGATATGATAAATCAGCGAATGAAGTAACTATTATCGACCAATAAAACTGAAATAAAGATTTATATGTTCTGCTTTAATAATTATATAGGATGCGAGCTCGACGGTTTACTGCTTTACTGTTTTTGCCACCATGACATGTTTTGGCACTTCGTAACGAATCTATCGCATTAATCAAACATATTCTTAAATTAATTACGAAAAAATAAAAAGATAATGTATCTATCGTATTGTAGATTAGATTTACATGGACTTTTAATATGGAAGAAATGGATGGAGTTAGTCCTTTCGGTTCTTTAAGTATAAATAAAATGGACGAGGAAAAAATTCAACTCGTATCAAAGCAAAAGAGTAAGTGTTATTTTAAATGTGTACTTTTATTATAATACACTTCATAAATATAGTTATGTATCTTATGAAACAGAAATAGTGAGGAAGTATACCCAAACTCTATACAAACTAACATATTTGCTGGAGTTTGGATAACTGATACATTGGTATGTAAACTACATTCATAAATGAAATCTACACAACTTAATACAAAGAAACTTTCAATTACAAGTGTAAAAGATGTAATAAGCAAACTATTCAGCTATTAAATGTTACAAAGTGAATACAACTGTTTTGTAACACATGTGACAACCTAATTTCAGTTTCCATGAATTAGTAAATGCATTAATTTATCCTACATTAATATTTGAAAGTTTCTTTTAACATTAAACAGAAATTAAATAGACTATGTAATAGAAAAATAAATTGAGCGTACGAGAACTAATTTATATGATTTTGCAGAATATTGAAAGCCACCCATTAAACGAGATTTGTGAAGTGATAATACTTATCTTATTATATTACTTTTTAAATCTGAAATGTGTTTTAGTATTGTCTTATCAAATTTAACAATTATATCTTGAATTGCGATTAAGCTCGTATCAAAATATAATTTGAATCAACTCTATACTTGAATATTTAATAATGAAATGTATTTAATAATGAAATGTCTAGGTTACCTTATCAGTCATTATAAAGGATATAAATTTGGTTTTGATTTTATTGATAATTAACTAAAACAGCAAAAAAAATTCGAAAGATGAAGTTTCAATAAATTAAATTTTGAATGCGAAATTCTACCTGTAGGCCTATATTTAATAGGATAAATTGTTAAGCTTACTTTATCCCGCGTTATTTCGGTTTTTCAAATTATTTAAAATTATTGATAAACTACAACAGCAGGAAAAATTCGAAAGATGAAGTTTCGGTAAATTAAATTTTGAATGTGAAATTCTACCTGTAGGCCTATATTNTGATTTTGCAGAATATTGAAAGCCACCCATTAAACGAGATTTGTGAAGCGATAATACTTATCTTATTATATTACTTTTTAAATCTGAAATGTGTTTTAGTATTGTCTTATCAAATTTAACAATTATATCTTGAATTGCGATTAAGCTCGTATCAAAATATGATTTGAATCAACTCTATACTTGAATATTTAATAATGAAATGTCTTTGATAATTAATTAATTAAGAAATTAAAGTTTCCATCTGAAACTAAATGTATTTGTTAAATACATACTCATATTTATTGCAAAAATTGACACTATATTAAACATAATTGTTTTTAAGTTATTTAAATCCTTATATAAAATATTTATTTATGAAATTTTCTATACAGCATATACTATAATACTACAGTATTACTAAACATTACAGAATAATAATTGTTAAGGGTTTAATTGTTAATAAGTGAATATAACCTTAGCATGTCCTGTACTGTACAGTACATGTAAATTTGATTTCAGTTAAATGAATTGGTACATTAATCTATGAAAGTTTGTTTTCCATGATTTATTTTAATGAGCCTTAATACAATAGCTAGATGAACTACTGAAAGTACTATATATTCTATATATGAAATATTTTTGGAATAAAGATACTATCTCATTAATTTAATCAAAATACCAAAGTTAGAATCCTGATCAATGAAGTTGNAGCGACACGTCCGGGGCGGACAGATATAACACCGGCGATCCCTCCGAGGAGAGGAAAGCCGGCCACCTTCAGCCACCAGCCCTTACGACTGACGCTTAGAAGTGACTCCACCGGTCGCGGCGTACTACTGGGCGGGAGAAAGTGCGTCGGCACGCCGGGAGTCGCGGCGCGGGCTCGGCCCGTAAAGGTCCGCCGTATCGCCCGCGCCTCTCCCGTCGGCTAGCGTCCCGACTGAATCCCCCCGCCTTTCGACTTTCGAGGGCCCACCCGCCAACAACAGCTTTTAAATTTTCAACACCAGCTTTTAAATTTTCAGTTTACTTTTAACATAAATAAAAAAAATCATAAAGTGAATCCTTAGACATTTATTTAATTAAATGTTTACAGATAAATTTTTCAATTTTAACTTTCATCAGATAGTTCATCTTTTAAACTTTGTAGCGCTTAATACAAGTACTCACTTTTACAAGGCACTTTTTTGAAAAATAAAATTTTATTCTTTTTTTGATTGACTTTTTAAATTATTTTTTCCCACTATTTTTTAAATAACCGAGTTTTTCTATGAAATAGAATGTTAATATAATGTATAAATATTAAATTTAGCTTATAATTGTGTGTAAATCCTTAACATAGATCTATTTTTATATTTTTAAATGAATACAGATAAGTTAAAATACATATGTAGAAACAGGGGCGTACCGTGATATTTGATGATAGGGAAGCTGTGTTTCTGTAAGAAGCCGACATCCAGGGGCAATCAGTCAATTGCGCATCAGTGACAGTCTAGGGTCCATTCGTATCGTTTATTCGATAAGCCAGTAAAAACCGTAGTCTTTTCTAAATGCATTTTTAATATCACAATTATATTTTGAATTGCTAGCCACAATATAAGAACTACAATTAAAAATAAAATAATAAAAACTTACTTGGTGAAATAAAATATTTGGTGGATGTACTGGTACATACAAAATATTATTCAATTATATGAATATACTTTTAAAGAAAATTATAACTAAATATAGCTTTGCAAAAAAACGTACATAAAAAAATATAAAATATTCTTTACTTTTTAAATCTTAAAACAATGCACTTAGTCAAATAGCTCCCTACGAGTGGCTAATGGATTAAATCGAAGACGGTTGCAGAGCGTGCATACACGCGGACTGCCAAATCCCCAGGATGCCGATACCGGTCAACGTGAAATACCTCTTTTGTCCCATCACTAGCATATCTCAAAGGACGCGACGGGGCTGTTGTAAATTTTAAACGTTTCTCACCATAGCTGTAAAAATCTAAATATGTTAAAGTTAATAGTCATTTGTTTTCTAACTAACTCGTTTTAGGACCAGGTGTTGTCCACAGCAATTTCCAAAATTTACAACTTTTCGGTCACTTTCGTTGAACTGAAAAAATTTCTGTCTTTATTACATCTAATATTTCGAAGAAATCAGTCCCACTGTACTCGGCTATATGTGAGAAATCAGACTGTCTTATGAGAATTTTCAGTAATAAAAGTCGTAAAAAATTTTTCTTTCATCATTATTTCCATTATTTTTCCCGTTTTCACCCCTTTGCCCGAGGAGCAGACCGAGTTACCAAACAACTTGTACTGCGTCACTTAGAAAGGTAACCTCCTGTGCAGACGGAGTCGTCGGAGGCGACAACGGAAGAGCTCCGCTCTCCCCAGGTAATTGCTCGATTATAAGGTATCTGCGGTATAACCAATTAGCAAAAACAGACATGTGTTGAGGGTAGACAAAAACGTCACCTACAACAATAGATGATACGATAAGAAATCATATCACGTTACCGAACAGGCCAGTCATCTTTCCAGGTAATGACGAATTTAATACTAATTGGTCAAAAGATGATTATATAACGTTGTCACCCATGACAATGGAGACGATAATGAATCGAAAGTACTGTTAAATTCAAGTAAACAACACACGCTGCAAAGACGATTACATCAGCGAAATCCCAGATATTTCCCACGTTGAACGAGTATAAAAGGGGATCGCTCATGCACCTCTGGGCATTCGTCGAGGAACAAAGCCAAGGATCGGACTCATCAAGCGTTCCTGCCTCTGTATACTTTGCAGCTTCTGATCGCCGCTCGAAACGAAGTAGACTTAGAATATTTTTNATAATGTAATGCAAAATAGGGAGTAAGGTATGTAATTATTTTATTTATTATGTAATATTATCTTTCAGATTTATTTTTTCTATTTGGTTTTTGAAATCATTCCAAAAACTTTTTGAAAAATTGAGACAAGAAGCCGAATTCTGGAATCTCTGGCAATATTATTTTTAATGAACAGCAAATCATTTTAATAGTAGAAATTTTATCATTTATATTTTTTAATACTCTTCTCAAACTACACTTACAAGAACTAACTAAACTTTTTAAATCTTAACATGCAGTCTATTTTATTAAATTATCTAATGTTTTCGGTCAAATTAATTGGCCTTCATCAGGATCAAAAAATTTTTCTATTTATGACGAACGAAACTGATTCTGGAACGTTTTTAATTCAAACTTTTCTCAGCTTCTATACTTTTTAATATCTATCTAATTTAAACAAATTATATCTATCTAATTTAATTTAAATCTAAATTTAATTAAAAATTTTAATTACTGGCATATACTATGACTATTAATTTTAAAAATTTTACTAATTTAAATCAAGGCTAATCCAAATTCTACTTATTCTGAACCAATTTTCTTTGTTTTTCCACTGAACATTCAAAAGCAAAAAGAAATCATAAATTATTTTCTAATAACATCAAATTTTTAAAATTAATATGGTTTATCACATTTTTACATGAAATTTTAAACTGTATTTGGTACAAATAATTTAAATATGTGTATTTGTAGTCCTATTTAACTTCCTTTTCTTTATATATAATCTGTATATGAGACCACATAGAATCTGATATCAAGATGGCTGAAAATCATTGGATCACTGGAAGGGGCTTTTATATCATATATATATCACTAGATGGATGTTATATGAAATTATACAGATTTATATTTTATGTCTTTTTCAGATGTTATTATTTTTCTAGTTATCTATATTATTGCTTTATATTATTAATTTATTTTATTGTTTTGATGTTTGTGTTTGGTTTATTACTTTTCATTTCTTAGTTTAAATGTTAACTGAAAATTTCGAATTTGTGAATTGTTTTTTGAATACTAGTTTAGAATATTTATTACATAGAACATTCCATTTTTAGATTGTGGAACCTGATGAAGGTGTATCAAATAGACAAAAATGTTAGTTTCACATTATTCAAAAACAGGTATCCTACATAGTAGTACTAATTTAAATTGTTCTGTGTAATGACATCAAATGCTA